AACAGAAGGCCAGGTTGTGCAGGAACTTGGAGGTTATAATCAGGATTCCTTGATTTATCACACATAACCTCTTTGGAGAGACCCAAACCAAGGTTATTTTTTTAAGATGTTGGTATATTATCATGTGTGCATATCATGACTGTCATTTTTTAGTGTCCAAAATTGTTTACTGCTTTATATCAGGAGATTTCTTCATAGAAGAAAATTTAGATAATTTTTGGCTAATAAAAACTAATAATTATTTTCACTGAGAACACTGGTATGCTACGTAGTTAAACATAAAATATTACCCAAAGTTTTGCAAAATAATATTACTTGGAGATTCCTTTATGTATCCTGGCAACCCACATCTATTTTCACAAATAAAGTCACCACTTAAACATAACTGATTTCATCTGGAATATTTTCAGGGTGATTATTAGGAGAGACAAAGTGAGACCTGAAAGTAGGATTTGACAGCAGTGCTCAGCAAATGTTGAAGAGTGTGCTTTGCTGTGCGCTGGAAATTTCCACGCTTGCTTTCTGCTTTCCTTTGTCTCCTTTTATTACCTAAACTAGAGGCCCAGGGCACAAATTCATGCACAGGTAGGGTCCAGCCAGCCTGGCCCCAAGCAAGATGGCCAGGCCTGTCAGGAGGAGGAGATGCCAGGAGGTTGCCCGATCAGGGCCGGGTTGGCTTGAGGAAAGGCTGCAGGAGGTTGGCTGACCAGCCCCACCCCCTGATTGGGCTGGTTCACTGGTCGCAGTGGGCATCATAGCAACCAGTCATTCTGGTCGTTAACAGCTTTCTGATCGCTGGCGCTATACACACACACACACACACACACACACACACACATATATATATATATATAATCTCCTTTTCCTGGTGTCCATTTGAGACTTCATGCTGCCCTTTGTTTCTGTTTTGGAGGAGAATCTCTGATAAAGGAATTTACATTAAGATGCCAGCAACTGCACTCCGCTGAGATGGCCCAGTGGTTGAGCGTCTACCTGTGAACCAGAAGATCAAGGTTTGGTTCCTGGTCAGGGCACATGCCAGAGTTGCGGGCTTGATCCTCAGTGTGGGGCGTGCAGGAAGCAGCTGATCAATGATTCTCATCATTGACGTTACTCTCTCTCCCTCCCTCTCCCTTTCTTTCTAAAAAAAAAGTAAAAATATATTACAAAAAGAAAGAGATGCCAGCAACCTGAAGTTGTCCTCCAGAAATCTTGTATGTTTGAAAAAGCAGTCCCCTCCCAAGGAAAAAATATGGCTTCAGACTTATTATATGTGGGGAGCATAGATCAGGCAAAATCTTGGCATGTAAATTTCTGCTTAAGAAGTCAATTAGTTTGTTGCCCAGCATAATAAAAGAATCACAATTAAGCAATAAACCTAATTTTATGAACTGTTTATTTTGATATGTAAGCTGTTAAGTGCTTGAATAAGAAAATACCATCAAAGGGGGACATCTGTAATACTGTCAACAACAAAAAAATAAAAATAAAAACAAAAATACCCTTAGCCTAGAAATGGGTATATCACAGAGACAGGTTAAAAGTAGAAAGAAAAATGTCACCATGGTGCATGGCAATGTTTTCTTCCATGAAGCAATCAAGAGCAGGTCAAGAGGGGAAAGAAGCTTGTGCGTCATGTGAAGTTTCTTCCCACTTGTTTATGAGGAAGGGAATTGAAGACAATGCTGAATTTCTAATGAAAATCAAAGCGGTAGAATCACAAGTTGTGGATTTGGGAAGGAAATAAATTAGGCTAGTGATCTGCATTTTGCAATCCATTATGTCAAGTGGTTTCATGCTCTGATTTCATTTTGAATGTTCTCAATTACCAAAAAAGTTTGAACTTGTCTTTATGTATTTGTGGTTATTTCTGTTAACCATCTCTTTATTGTATTTTTCTTATTGAGTTACAGAAATTCTTTGTACATTTGAGATGAAATCTTTCTTGGTAATGTGTGTTGCAATTATCTTATCCCAATTTATGGGTTTTCTTTTTTACTCTCTCAATGGCGTCTTTTGATGAACAAAAGTTCTAAACTTGAATGTAGTAGGTTCATTAAATTTTATAATTCTGTTTTAAGAAATCTTTCCCCATCATAAGCTATAAGGATATTATCCAGTATTATCTTCTAAAAGTCTGTTTGTATTATTTTCCTAATAGGTCTGAAACCTACTGCTTTTGAGTAGATTGTGTGAAGTAGGGGTGCTGTGCCTCACCCCATCCCCCATGGTTATCCAATTGTCCAGCACCATTTATTGAAAGGCCAATATTTCCTTGCTCATTTGCAAGATTTAATAATCTCAGTTAAGCATAAAATATCCATATTTGGACTCTCAATTCTGTCCACTATTCATCTTGCCTGACACTGTGGAAATACTACATCATTTTAAATACCATAAATTAATTTTATTATAGGTAAGCCACGTTGCTTCACTTTATTCAACTTCTTCAAACAGATCTTGTTTATTTATTCATTAATTTTTAAACAACTCTTTAAAATATATGTTTTTATCGATTTTTAGAGACAGAAGAAGGGAGAGGGAGAGATAGAAACATTGACTGGTTGCCTCTTACCCCCACTGGGGAACGAAGCCTTAACCAGGGCACATGTCCTGACTAGCAATCAAACCCGTGACCTCTTGGATCATGAGTTGACTTCAACCACTGAGCCACTCAACCACCCTGCAGGATCTTGGTAATTACTAACCTTTTCTCTTCCATTTAGAGTTTAGGATTCATTTGTTTAAATTCAACTATAAAAAAGCACTCCAGGATACTGATAGGAATTACATTAAGCTTACATGGAGCCATTTGGAGGAAAGTGGCATCTTTATAATATTGAATCCTTCATCAGTGAACATGGCATCTCTCATAAAGTGTAGGTCTTTTTTTTTTTTTTTTTTTTAAAGTCTTTATATAAAATTTTATAACTTTATCTTAAAGATCTTATAACTATTCTTAATTTATTTCTAGGTACTTAATATTTATGATGCTGTTATAAATATTATCTTTTAAGTTTTTCATTTTTGAACCATCTGTTGATGGTTTATAGAAATGCAATGTATCAATATTGATGTTAGCAACTTTACTAAATTTTTAAAATTAATTCTAACAATTCATGCATTATTTTTGTTTTGTTTTTTTATGTGGATGACTACACCACCTGCAAATTAATGGACTTTCTATTTCTTCCTTTTCATCTCTATTCCTTTTCTCTCTGCCTTTCTGCTTTGGTTAGAACATCCACTACACTAGTGAATGGAAAAAGTTGCTGTGGCTACCCTTGCCATTTTAATTAATGCCAAGAGTAAGCTTTCACTGTTTTTGAATTAAATTTGATGTTTTATTTTATACTTACCCATTGTCAAATTTAGAAAATTCTATTCTTAGTTTTCTAAGAGTTTTATTGCAAATTAGAGGCCCAAAGCATGAAATTCTTTCAAGCGTAGGCCTTCCTTCCCCCAGCTGCCAGCACCGGTTTCCCTCTGGCACCCGGATCCAGGCTTTCCTCGCAGCCCGGCCTCTTCCGAAGGTTGTCTAGTCTAATTAGCATATTATACTTTTATTATTATAGATAAATGATGCTTCATCAAATGCATTTTCTGCATTTATGGAGATAATCATATGATTTGCCTCCTTTATATTATTAAATATAAAGAGAATCATATGCTGCCGGGACCGGTTTGGCTCAGTGGATAGAGCGTCGGCCTGCGGACTGAAAGGTCCCGGGTTCGATACCAGACAAGGGCATGTACCTTGGTTGCGGGCACATCCCCTGTGGGGGGTGTGCAAGAGGCAGCTGATCGATGATTCTCTCTCATCGATGTTTCTAACTCTCTATCCCTCTCTTCCTCTCTGTGAAAAATCAATAAAATATATTTAAAAAAAGATAATCATATGCTTTGTCTCCTTTATATTATTAAAATGGTAATTAAACCTTGTATTCCTGGAGGTAAACCCAATTTTGTGATTATCTGCATTTTTTTTTTTATCTTGGACAAACATCTTTATTTAGTAACTCAAATAAATGGGGTAAAAAAATCATAGTAGCAACTTCACACACACATACAAGATCACACTTCAAATTACTTGCTCAAGTTATTCAGAACTGAACAAAAGTCTTCAAATGCACCCAAGTAGCACGGAACACGTGTCTTTATATTACTTGCTTTTCAATTGACATCTCGTTTACAGTAAGAACCCCACCCCTTACAGTAAAACAGTCCCTTCCTGCCCCCTCTGGTGCACAGCCTCAAAGGCCAGGAGGGCACACGTTAACATAATACAGGCTTTTCTGGGTTTACAACCCTAAAATCATCTTCCAGCTTTTTATTAACAAGGATATCAACAGGTTCATTCAATCTTAGCGTACTAAGGGAAAGGGAATAAAAGAACTAACACAACCTGGCACTTTGGGCCCCACTCCCCATTTTGCAGACATGGATCTGGATTTCGGAATGAATGACAGTAGGATCCCCGGCCCGGATCGGACAGTGGGCAGGTACGTGGCACAGGGCACTGCAAACACTGCCCACTTCAGCTTCTTGCTTCGAGCTATGCACAGTGCCTCTACATTCTTATAGCATCTCTAGACGTATGGGGAAGCCCATGTATGTCCTACTAACTCCATGTCTCACTGCAGATGCTTTAGGTTTAAATCTGACTACCAAATCTTTACAATGACATTTGGTTCTGGATTGTTACATCAAGATCAAGCTATATGAATGAGGAAAGCCAAAAGCCTATTCTGAGATTTCCAAAGATATTTCAAGGCTATTGATACAGAAATCCTTATAAATAACTGTTCAGAAGCAAATATTAATCTATTGATAATTCTAAGAAACTGAATGCACTATTTGTAACTATAAGGAATTTTACTAGGTTTAGATAAATTGACACAACAACTTTTCCAGGCTATTTAATCAAGTAACTTACAACGTCCACATTCCTGAGTATATTCCATGGCAGAGACACTGTTTATTTCCAAAGTTTTCTGTGTTTAGCTTAAGAGGGGTTTCTTCCCGAGAAACTGAACTTTCCTGTCAAATGCACTGGATCGAATAGGAGAATTGGGTTCGTAAAACGGATTCATTGCAAACTTGATGTATAGTTCATAGACATCAGTGAAGAAGTTCTTTAGCCCATCTTTTTGTCTTACATCATGAAGCATAATAAATCTCATATGACCCGCAGAAACAAATGCTAAGATGAACCACTCATTGAACTTGTCAACCGTTTTCAAGTACATGTTGTTTGACAGCCACATATTCTCATCCACCAGATCAAGGGCAGCATGAGCTATGAAATGGTTTAGATGACGATGGTCGTCTTTGGATTCTGCTTTTCCGGGTGGTAGAAACTCCATTTCAAACACTGGGTTGTCATGGTGGCTGACAATCACGAAGTAGAAGCTTCTAGACATTGTCTCCAATATATGGCTCCTGCGCCGAGACGCGGACTTCGTAAGAAAGTATCCACTGAGCTCCCGCCGGCCGATTACCTGCATTTTTTAAAACTGAATATGATCTGCTAATGGATTGTTTAGGGTTTTTGTATTTCAATTTATGAGTGGAAAAACTAAGAACTTTTCCCTTTAATTTTTTCAACTATTATTTATGAATTACAAGTAATCTTGACTGCTTCTATGATTCCACAAATCCCAATGGTTCTGTTCTTTTTATTTTTAACCATTTTCCCTCTCTGTTCCTCAGACTGAATAATTTCCATTGGCCTGTCTTCAAATCTCTGACTCTTCCCTCTTTCATCTCCATTCTGCTATCAAGTTTGTCCAGTGGAATTTTTATTTCAGATATTGAATTCTTCACTTCTAGAATTTCCATTTTCTTCATTTTACAGTTTCTATTTCTCTGCTGAGATTTCCAATTCCTTCATTACAATCATATTTTTCTTTACCCCAATGGCTGCTTTAAAGTCTTTGATATTTCTAACATCTGGGTCATTTGGGATTGGACTTCCTCATTGTTGTTTCTCTTAAGAGTAGGTTGTATTTCCCTAATTCTTTGTAAGTAAAAAAAAAAAAAAAAAAAATTGGATTGTATCCTGATGTGGTAATTGTTATGTTGTTGATTCTGGAGTCTGTGTTCTTTCATATTTCTCCAAAGAGTGTTGAAATTTTGTTTAAGCAGGATTCTAATTGGTTAGACTTAAACTGCAAGCTCTGTCTTGCCTATAATGGGTGGAGGCTTAAATCTCAGGTCAAATCTTCTATTTTAGGGGAACTGCTTACAGTCTGCTTTATGGATGTGTTGCTCAGAGGTCAGCGTTGGGCAGAATTTATACATAAGAATTTGGGATTCTCCTTCCTAGGCTCTCTTTTTTCAAGGATTCTGTCTCACTCTCTGAAAGCTCTTTTTACCCCAAGTTCTGTCCCTGACTGCTCAGGACAGAAAGATGGCTGACTTTTCTTAAGAGTTATAGCTGCTCACACATGCTTCATCCGTAGTCTACCCCTAGAAACAAGCTGTAAAGATAACACCAAACACCAACCAAACAAAAAACAAACAGGAAATTCATTTCACATGGATCAGGTCTTCCAAATTTTAACTTCTCTCCAAAATGTGCTGCCTTTTGTTCACTCTGCAGAGATCTCAGGGAGTTTATTTTTATATTTTATCTGGTCTGTGTTTCCATCCGTCAGGAGTTTACTCCTCCCTGCTGGAAAGAAACTTTTCCACATCCTAAGTTACCAAGTCATGTTTTAAGAAGAAATGTTAGCTAAAAAGACACTTAAAGTATAGTGGCAATCGCGAGAAGTAAAGCAAGCCCTGGCATTACTCTCTCATTGGTGAGAGAGTAACCATGTGCCTGCCCATTCCTGTCGCAAGGCCACAGCTGGCCACTGTGATCACACCCTTCTTAGGGTTGTTCCTAAAGGCAAGACTATGAGTAACCTGGGGATCATTCTGTAACATGTTCTCCAGATGTCCCTCACAGCGGCTTAGTGTCCATCACTGATCGCCAGCCTGGAGAACTAACCCCTCGGAGACAGCTCAGAACTTCTGGCTTTCTCATGGCCAGCACAGTCACCAACAAATTAATAATGCTGCAGCAACCATTTCCCAGAGCAGACATCACTTTAACAGAGCTTTCTAGGAGGCAGAGGTCATTTACCTCAGAGACACTTCACAAGCACTCATTACCGCATTTCTGTTTTGAAGGATGGAAGGGCGAATTGCCGGGAGGCTGTACAAATCACTGTGGTTAATGTGCGGAGGGAAAAGCGAGGCCCCCAAGAGTACAAATGGCACGTTAGAAGGCACCTAAGGATACACTGGATAGGATGTTGAACATATATAAATACTAAACTTGTCAGAAACATTATGTTTTTCATGGTCCCCATGTTTACTAAGGAAGTAACCACAATAAAACTTGGCAAGTCTGAAAATGTTCCAAGGTTCTTAAATTGGCCTGTATTTCTTGTAATGATAGTTACGGGTAAGAAATAATGTTCATGTTTGTGAAAGGAGGTTGTGCCCTTTAGATCTCAAATCTTGTGTTTTTGTTTATGTGTTGTGTGTGTGTGTGTGTGTGTGTGTGTGTTTTAACGGGCAGCTTTATGTCATGTTTAAATATTTCTAAAGCAGTGTTTCTCAAAATGTGCCTATTGGCATCCTGCATTAAAATCTGTGGTGTTGCTAGAGAGGCAAATTCCTAATCTCACTGCAGCCCTAAAGAATGAAAACCACAAGTAAGGAGATTAGAGAGATCCCATCATTTTGTCAGCTCCACCAGCTGAGTTCCAGACTCAATGAAAGAGAACTATACAGGCAGATCTCACTTTATTGTACTTCACAGGTGTTGTGTTTTTTTATAAAGTAAAGGCAAGATCCTCTCCCAGCAAAATGATTACAACTCACTTTATTGCCAGACTCACTTCGTGTGGAACCAAACCCACAACAGCTCTGAAGTATACCCGTGTCAGAGTCTCAGAAAGATATTCTTCCCCATAAAGATGACAGCAGAGTGATTAAATGCATTCTGAGATTGTTTCCTTTTTATTTCATACATGTAGTGTATACTCCAAAGTACAGAATGCCATGCTAGGTGCTGGTGGGGTACAAAGCATGGAGGTTCCAGTCCTTCCCGTGATTCTTCTAAGGCAGTGGTCGGCAAACTCATTAGTCAACAGAGCCAAATATCAACAGTACGACGATTGAAATTTCTTTTGAAAGTCAAATTTTTTAAACTTAAACTATATAGGTAGGTACATTGTTATTAACTTAATTAGGGTACGTAGTATTTTGTGAAAGAGCCACACTCATGGGGCCAAAAAGCCACATGTGGCTTGCGAGCCACAGTTTGCCGACCACTGTTCTAAGGGGAGAGTGGAGTGCTCACAAAAGCTTGATTAGCACAGAAGGATCTAATTGGAGTTGTGATTTGGAAAGAATGTGTCTTAGGTCCTAATGCTTAATGGGTTTCTCATGGTATCTGGATGTAAAAAAAAAAAAAAAAAAAAAAGTCAAATTAACATATATTAATAAAAAGACTATATTATAGATCTATCTCAGAGATAGCTGTAATGTCTGAGACCCAAAACAAGAATAGAATCCCAAAGATATTTTAAAATGAATTTCTTCAGTGTCACAGGTAAGTTCCTAGAAGCAGAGTCTGAGGCACAGATCCATGTACAATTGGTTTACTGAGAGAGTGCTTTCCCGAGATACTAATGAAGGGTGAGGGGGCAGGGGAATAAGCCAGACAAAGGTGTATTTCAGAAGAGGTGTAGTGTCAGCTTCGTCTGACCCTACAGGGGGCATCAAGCGAGCTAGGAGCAAGAGTGAAACACTTGCCACAGAGGCTTCCCTGCACCCCCTATGCAACTGATGGGCTGAGAGCCACCCCCAGCAGCTTCCCAGGCCTCCTAATCGTCTCCTGTCCGCCAAGGGCAATCCTCCCCAAAGGGTGCGGCTGTGAGCCAGCAGCAGCCAATGTTCATGGTGGCTGGGGAGGGGCACTCTGCCCAGTAAGGAGATCAGGGAGGGCCCCGAAGGCCTCTGTCCCACTCACCAATGCCTGAAGTGATTCTTTCTTTAGGCCAGCGGTCGGCAAACATGTAGCTCTTTGGCCCCTTGAGTTTTTAGCAAAGGCCAGCTTAGGAGTATCCTAATTAAGTTAATAACAATGTACCTACCTATATAGTTTAAGTTTTTAAAATTTGGCTCTCAAAAGAAATTTTTAAAAAATATATATTTTGTTGATTTTTTTTTGCCCCTCTCCCTCCCATTCATACCCTCCCTCCCCAGAGTTTTTTTATTTTTTTATTTTTTAAAAATATATTTTATTGATTTTTTTGCCCCCCTCTCTCCCTCTCACACATATCCTCCCTCCCCAGAGTTTTATGTCCATTGGTTGTACTTATATGCATGTATACAAGTCCTTCGGTTGATCTATTATCTCCCCCAGATCTTCCTCCCCTCTCCACTGTAATTTGACAGTCTGCCTGTTGCTTTACTGTCTCTATATCTATCTTTTGGTTCATCAGTTTATAATGTTCTTTATTATCCATAAATGAGTGAGGTCATGTGGTGTTTCTCTTTCATTGATTGGCTTATTTCACTCAGCATGATGTTCTCCAATTCCATCCAGGTTGCTGCAAATGATGAGAATTCCTTCTTTTTTATGGCAGCATAGTATTCCATTGTGTAGATGTACCATAGTTTTTGGATCCAATCATCTGCTGACGGGCACCCAGGCTGTTTCCAAATTCTGCTGACGGGCACCTAGGCTGTTTCCAAATTCTGGCTATTGTAGATTGTCTGCTATGAACATAGGGGTGCATATATCCTTTCTGATGGGTGTTTCTAGTTTCTTGGGATATATTCCTAGGAGTGGAATTACTGGGTCAAATGGGAGTTCCATTTTCAGTTTTTTGAGGAAACTCCGCACTGTTCTCCACAGTGGTTGCACCAGTCTGCATTCCCACCAGCAGTGCACGAGGGTTCCTTTTTCTCCGCTACCTCGCCAACACTTGTCGTTTGTTGATTTGTTGATGTTGGCCATTCTGACATGTTCAAAAGAAATTTTAATCGTTGCACTGTTGATATTTGGCTCTGTTGACTAATGAGTTTGCCGACCACTGATCTAGGCTAAACTGATTCTTCCACTCGAGCTCTGCAGTCAGACTACATGGTTCCAGCCTCAGCTCCACCCCTCATTGGTTGTCTTTGTACGTCACTATTCTCATCTTTTAAAATGTAAGTTGTAAAGTTAACTGCTGGAAGACTGCTGAGAAGACAATCAGATAATCCATACCAAGTGTTTTGCAAAGTGCCGTGCATATAGTAAGCATGCAATATATTGTAGCAAATTCTAGTTATTATTTTCATTCCCTTGCTATCTCCTTACTAAGACCTTGATTACCCTGTGTGTAAGATTTATTTTTCTTTTTGTTTAATAAAT